CTTTCATCCCCCTTTTCTCTTGGAAATTCTTTCCCTCTCTAGGTTTTCATGATGCTGCTTTCTCCTTGTTCTCAGTCTCCTTTGCCGGATCTTAGTCCAGGTTATACTCACTAAACGTGGGTGCCCCCAACATCCTCTCCTTAACTATCTTCTCCCCTTATACTTTTTCAAGTACCTTGATTGACTCCACCTCCATTAGCCCCCTTTTCCCTCTGCCTGGAGAGTGGAGTAACAAAGTCTTCTCCGTGTCTTCCTACATAGAGGACAGAATCTGGACTCCCAGCTCACTCCAATTAGTATCTGCTGCTCTGCCTGGTTTCACCTCAGCAGCACAAGATTCCTGTCCCCACCTGCCAAGTATCCTCTGGCATCCTCCCTCCCTCCCGGCTCTCTTTCCTGCCCCCTTTTGTGTTTCGTCTTCTCCCATTATGTTGTATATTGTAAGCTCCTTATGGCAGGAACTCTCTTGTTTATTACTTGTATCCCCAGTTCTTAGCATAGTGCCTAGCACATAATAGGTGCTTAATTTTGATTGGACTGGAGTATGCACATAGTTGTTTGCATGTTGTATCCTCCATTAGTGTGACAATTAAAAACGGTTCTAGAGACATCGTTTCTGGGTAATTTAATCATTTTATTAATAAAGCCAGCAGGTTATTAATAAAAGGATGGTCTCTGGCCTTCTCTCTTAGACCAAAGACAATCACGGTGGCAGGCTCACAGATTACATATCCTTCAAAGCAGTGAGGGGCTGCTGGTGATAGAGAAATTATCTCTACTCAGACCACAGCAGCCTTGGGCTATCTAGGCCAGGGGTGGGGAATCTGCAGCTTCAAGGCCACATGTGGCCCTCTAGGTCCTCAAGTGTGGTCCTTAGACTGAATCCAAACTTCACAGAACAAATCCCCTTAATAAAAGGATTTGTTCTGTAAAACTGGGATTCAGTCAAAAGGCCACACCCAAGGACCACATGTGGCCTCAGGCCCACAGGTTCCCCACACCTGATCTAGACAAAAGGATTTGTCTCCACCAAAACTAGAGTAGAACACAATGGGCTTTCCCACCCTAAATTAAATTCCTTGCTTGGTTGGGTGAGGTCTGACCAAGATTGAGGAAAGTCAATGTAATCTCATTATCAATAATGACTTTCAAGAAAACAGAACTTTTTTAAATGAGGAGTTTAGAAACAGGGGAGACCTCTGAATGTCCTCAAGATATTGGTTACTGATAATCATTTCTCTCATTAGAATGTGAACTCCGCCAGGGCATTTGCCTTTCTGCATATCCCAGGTGCTTACTACAGTGTCTGACACATAGTAGGCACTTAATTAAATACTTGTTGATTGAAGACTGATACACTTGGTAAGAGACAGGATTTGCATATATGTCCTCTGACTCAGGAGTGAATGGTCTTTCCCCTATACAGTTCTATATACACAACAGGTAGTTAATAACTGTTTGATGAATTGAATTAGACATCTAATTGTGCATGATATAAATGAAAGGGTTACAGCCTGTCCTGTGGAATGGTAACCTCATTATTACCAATAGAATGTGAGCTCCTAGAGAGTATGATGTGCTTCATCTTTGTCTGTGTATTCCTTAGGTGCTAGCACAATGCCTAAAACATGAAAGGTGCTTAATAAATGCCTGTTATTGATTTACTGATTAATAAAATGAGCCTTGGATTTAGAGTCAGGGTTCAAGTCCTAGCTTGAGTTCAATCTCCACAACATACAATGTGGATGAACTTGGCAAATCTCTGGCTCTCCGTTTTTTGTTGTTGTTTTTTTAATAAAGGGATTTCATTAGATAACCTTTACAAGTATTTTTCCATCTCTAAATGCATCTCTGTAGATGCTCCTTGAATCCATCCCTTAGTCTGGAAAGTGGGGCTTTCCCTTCTGTCCCAGGAAGACATCACTGGTTGCTGCTTCAACAGCTCTTTACTGTTCTATACCCTCAAGGTCTGAAAGAGTTAATTCAGAAAAGAGGATATACTTCAAGTGAAGCCTTTCTAGATTTCTGTGGCCCCTCTCTGTATCCCCTAACTGTTAGTGTTTTCTCCCTCCTCAAATTATCTGGCATTGATTTATCTGTATGCGTGTTATATTGTCCCCAGTGGAATGTAAGCCCCTAGAGGGTAGGAACTATTTTATTTCTGCCTTTGCATCCCTAGCAGCTAGTACAGGACCTGACATATGAAAGGCCCTTAATGTATGTATGTTGAATTAAATTGAGTCAATAAGCTATACGATTTAATAGCTAGAGGCTGTAGCCATTACTTACAGGAGTGATCACACTCAGGTAATAACGAAATTAAATCTATCCTGCAAACAAGAATGGGGGGAGGAGTGTCCACAATTTTATCCTAGCAACAACAGCACATTATACTCAGAGGATTATTACATTAAATTACTTAGAAACCACCTGATTCAACCACCTTATTTTATAGGTGGAGAAAACTGAGACCCAAGGAGGTTATATGGCTCACCCTAGGTCATAGAGTTAGGAGGCATCAGAGGTACCAGTTAAAAGGGGCTTCAGAAGTCATGTAGTCCAACCAACTCATTTTAGAAATGAGGAAACTGAGGTTCAGAGTGGTTGTGTGCCTTGCTGAAGATCTGACACAGGTAGGAAACAACAGAACTAAGATATGATTTCATTTTCTCACACTCCAAATTCAATGTTCTTTTATGAAATTATATTGCTTCCCTTTAGGAATTATGCTTTGCTACTCAACCTTAAATGATTTTAGAAGGAAACAGAAACCAAAAATTAGGATTCCCTAAAATAAAATATCTGGCCAAACCAGGAATTTGATCCATCAGCCCAAATGGCACATGGGGAGATGGCCATCTCCTCCAGGAAGTCTGTAATAACCTTCCCTGCCCCCCCTACCTCACAAAGCATTTTGTTAATAAATGGTCATATATTGATTTTTTATTGAAGGCTCCCTACTTAAACCCATCACTTGGAAACAAATATGGCATTGACAGTCTGTGTTGTAATCACAAGACAGGGTTAAACAAAGTGCTCCTGGCCTGCTCACCATCACTCCTCCCTCCTTTCCCTATCACTTAGTTTGCTCTTCAGGGCCTCCTTAAGGCTGGAGTCACATTATATTTCCTAACCACACTATTCCAGGCTGAAGGTCTATTAGAATTCAGGAACAGAATTACATTGTCTGTGTTGTCTAGAGAAATATTACCCTAGCCTAGGAGATGCAGAAATCTATTTCTACAATCTCGTCGCATTGACTCCATCTTGGAGACCTTGACTCTGGCAGAGCCTGCCTGTTCCCTGTGGAGTCCCACTAGGCATCTGAGATGCAGTGAGGTTCATGGGTTCAATCATGGCCAGGCTAGATATCTACTAGGCACCCTGAGAACATCATTTATCAAGTTACTTCACAGGTAATAGAGATACGGTAGAGCTTTTATTTCTATAGAGAGTGAATCAAAATCTCCTCTCTATTCCCTATGGTAGGTGATAAGTAGTGTATTGTCAACAAATCTTTGCACACGAACACAAATTTCACACATCAATTTCAATAAACATTGCGAATTCCCAGTATGAGAACTGTTATCTCCCCATGCACATCACAACCCATCCATGACTTAGGTGGTGGAGAATTATATCAGTATAAGAAGAATTGAATTTGGGTTCTGAGGACCTGGTTTCAAGGCCAGATCCTGCCACTTACTACCTATGTACCCTTGGGCAATCATTTAACCTCTCCGGGCCTGTTTCCCCCTCTCTAAAATGAAGAGGTTAGAATTACTACATAAAAGTAGTAAGCTTAGCACAGTGACTGGCACGCTGTTGTTGTTCAGTTATTTTTCAGGTGTATCTGACTCTTCATGGCTCCATCTGGGCTTTTCTTGGCCAAGAATACTGGAGTAGTTAGCCATTTCCTACTCCAGCTCATTTTACAGATGAGGAAACTGAGGCAAACAGGATTAAGTAACCTGTCCAGGGTCACACAGCTGGTAAGTGTCTGAGTGCATAGAAGGCATTTAATAAATGTGACCTTAAGGAGTTTCCTCTAGGTACATTAGAGATTAATTTAATCACCCAGGGTCGTACAAGTAGGATCACAGAATCAGAGGGTTAGTGCTGGAAGGCATATTATAAGCCATCAGTCCAAACCTGTCCTTTTATAAATGAGGAAGCTGAGGCTCTGAAGAGATTAAGTGAATTATTTGTGATGACATGGGTAGTGAATGGCAGAGCCAGGATTCTGGCAGGTCTTCCTGAATCCAAGGCCAGAATTCCATTCATCTTATCAGAGGGACACCAGAAACACAGAGCTATTACATGATAACATATGGCAGCGTGCCACAGAAGATAGAGACGTGACCCAAAGTCAAAAAGTTCTGAGTTCAAGTCACGTCTTTGATGCATAATCAGTAGGTACTCACTTAATTTCTCAGTGCCCCCAGACAAATCCTCTATGAATATCATTTACAAAATAATTACAAGTCTCCATTGATCAATGGAATTTTCCTTACATAGAGTTCCCTTCACCTATGAAATTTCAAGTCTGATTAAAAAAAAAAGTGGCCATAGCCAAATATACTTAGCATATATTGTTTTAGTCTATATGAACATGTTTAGGAGAGATGCCCAGATACCTTTTAATCTGCCATATGTGAGATGGATTGAAACAGCAATTGTGTCTAGTAAAAGAGTAACCCTGGGACCACATAAAGCCCACTGAACATGAAAGATTCTTTGGGATTACACATGGCATGGGGCTCTGGCCCAAGAGATAACCTCCATCTTTAAGAAGTCCATTGTGAATAATAGCTCACCCTTGGTGAATGAAGGAGATTATCCATCTTATTGCTATGTTTTTGCATTATCACCAGAGGAGGAAAGTATACGGTGATAGAAATGCATATTTGGACAGGATCCGGCAAAGAAATGAAAAAAAAAAAAGGAGATGAAGTAAACATCAGTGGATTTAAATGTGCATGATGCACATTGGGACTTACTTGTTCTCAGAAGTAGTAGATTTCCTCTGACACACATATTTCCCCGTATAATCCACACTCTCTTTAACATCCCATAAGTGTGGGTTGCTGGCTCGAACACCAATAATATTCATACCTTTCTTTACCTTCGCCCTGTTGGGGAAGAAATAGGAATATTTCTGAGATGAGACAGACATGTGGCTGACAATAATTCATGGATGATATTGGACCTCACTGCCTATGGATGTAAGACCAGCTGAAGCAGTCACATAAACAGGATCAACCCAAATATTAATGCTTGGTAAAGGGGAAAGGATGTTGGACATGGAGTCCAAGAGACTTGATTTAAATCCTGCTGCTGACATTTGTGTGGACCTAGATCAAATACTTACCTTCTCTGAGACTCAATTTCCTTATTTATATATTTTTAAAAAGAGGGGGGGGAATGTTTGTTTAACTATAATAGCTAGTATTTATATAGTGCTCTAAGTCTGAGAAGAACTTTACCAATAATAGCTCATTTGATCCTCACAAAGGCCCCAGGGAGAAAAGCGATATTATTATTCCTCTTTTACAGATAAGCAAACTGAGGCTAAGTGACTTGAAGCCAAATTTGAATTCAGGTCTGCCTGACTCTAGGTCCAGGGCTCTTTCTACCACTATGCCACCAGTTGCCTCAAGAATAGAAGTAGAAATGTTATTATTCCTAAATGACAGAAGCAAGACCTGGGACTTAAAGGGTAATATGAATTACCCTAGGTCACACAGTTAATAAACACCAGGAGGAATTAGAACTCAGGTTTCTTGCCTCCAAGTCCAGTGCTCTTTGCAAATGTGAGCTTTCCAGATGATAATAGTTTGATTACAGTTATAGTCCTGTAGATAGAATCATAGCATATTAGAGCTAGAAGGTATCTATCCATCATTTTGACAAGTCTTTAATTACACTATTAAGGGGAATGTGTAGAACATTAAAAAAAAAACTAAATGATAATACCAGGTACAAGTACTTCTGCCACCTCAAGAAAAATATTTTTAAAAAGAATTTTTATAGATAACTTTATCTTTTGTATAGAGGATATACTCATCCCTCCCCATCGAAACCTACCCCACTTTAACTCTATTTATAACAAAGAAAGGTAGTTAAGAAAAATAATCAACACGATGACCACATCTGACAATTTCCATGATATACTGACTTGTGGTGCCACCTTATAGATGGCTGAGAGGAGTAGGGTTCATTATCTGTTCCCAAGGACCATCATTGGTTTTTTAATTGCTCAGAGTTCTACTTCCTTTAGAGATGACAGAGAGAGAGAGTGCAAGCAAGAGAGAGACAGGGAGACAGAGAGACAGAGACAGAGAAATGGAGAGAGAGACACACACACACAAAGAAAGAGACAGAGAGAGGGACAGAGGGAGGGAGAGAGGAAGGAAGGAAGGAAGGAAGGAAGGAAGGAAGGAAGGAAGGAAGGAAGGAAGGAAGGAAGGAAGGAAGGAAAAAGGATGGTTTTCTTAATGTATCCTTTAGAAACTGGAATAAAACTCAAAGAATGATGCCATTAAAATATCTGATAATAATTTTTTGGTAAAAGACCTCTGCTTACAACTGAAGTTATATCTGTCTGTTACAATCCACTCAGGATTCTTTGTCCAAATGAATGAACCAACCCAGTGAAATTGGAATCTACTGGTAAATCATGTAGTATCTTTTTAACTTTTTTTTCCCTTTATTAATTACTTAATTTTTCATTTTCAACATTCACTTCCACAAGATTTTGAGTTCCAAATTTTCTCCCTATCTCTCTCCTACACCCCTCTCCTACCCACACCCCAAGATGGCATGCATTCTGAATAACCCTTCGGCCAATCTGCCCTCCCTTCTATCACCCCCTCCTTCTCTTATCCCCTTTCCCTTCTATTTTCCTATAGGGCAGGATAGATTTCTATAACCCATTTGACTGTATATTTTATTCCCCAGTTGCATGTAAAAACAATTTTTAACAATCATTTTTAAAACTTTGAGTTCCAAATTCTCCCCCTTCCTCCCTCCTCTTCTGGTTCTAGAATATCAGAGCAGTTTTCCTTGATAATTTCTTGAAAGATGATATCTAAGCACTTTTTTTGATAATGGTTTTCTGGTAGTCCAATAATTTTTAAATTATCTCTCCTGGATCTATTTTCCAGGTCAGTTGTTTTTTCCAATGAGATAGTTCACATTGTCTTCTATTTTTTGTTCATTCTTTTAGTTTTGTTTTATAATTTCTTGATTTCTCATAGAGTCAATTAGCTTCCATTTGCTCCATTCTAATATTTAAGGAATTATTTTCTTTGGTGAGCTTTTGGACCTCCTTTTCCATTCGATCAGTTCTGCTTTTTAAGTCATTCTCCTCATTGGCTTTTTGGACCTCTTTTGCCATTTGGATTACTCTATTTTATAAAGTGTTATTTTCTTCGTTATTTTTTGGATTTCCTTTAGCAAGCTGTTGACTCAATTTTCATTATTTTCTTGTATCCGTCTAATTTCTCTTTCAAAACTTTTCCTCTACTTCTCTTACTCGCTGCTCAAAATCCTTTATGAGAGGGGGTGGAGCCAAGATGGTGGAGTGAAAGTAGTGACTTACTTGAGCTCTCCCACTAAGCCCTCCAAATATCTGTACAAAATGACTCTAAACAAATTATAGAGTAGCAGAACCCACAAAAAGACAGAGTGAAACAAATTTCCAGTCCAACAGCTCCAGGATGGTTGATTGGAAAAGTCTATTATGCCTGACTGAGAAAGGAACGTAGTTCAGTGTGGGAGTGCAGAAAAAGACCAGGCCTCAATGAACCTTGAGCAGGCTTGAGAGGACTCAACCACGGGCAGCTATGGCACTTTCCTGACTTCTCAACCCACAAACACCAAAGACAACTTAGAAGGTCAGTAGGAAATGTCTGTGACCGCGATGAGAGAGAAGCTAAGTCCCAGCCCCAGTGACAGCACAGCCCTAGGGTGGCAGCTGCTACTGGCTCACCTCCCAAAAGAGATCCCCAAAGGAAAACTCCTAGGAATATTGTAGCCAAATTCCAGAGTTCCCAGGTCAAGGAAAAAATATTACAAGCAGCCAGAAAGAAACAATTCAAGTATTGTGGAAACACAATCAGGATAACACAAGATTTAGCAGATTGTACATTAAGGGACCAGAGGGCTTGGAATATGATATTCTGGAGGTCAAAACAGATAGGATTACAGCCAAGAATCACCCTGCCCCAGCAAAACTGAGTGTAATCCTTCAGGGGGGAAAATGGAAATTCAGTGAAATAGAGGACTTTCAAGCATTCTTAATGAAAAGACCAGAGCTGAATAGAAAATTTGGCTTTCAAATGCAAGACTCAAGAGAAACATGAAGAGGTAAACAGGAAAGAGAAATCATAAGGGACTTATTAAAGTTGAACTGTTCACACTCCTCCATGGAAAGATGATATGTGTAACTCATGAGGCCTTTGTCACTATTAGGGTAGTTGGAGGGGAAAAAATTTATATGGATAGATGGATAGATAGATAGATAGATAGATAGATAGATAGAGATGGATGGATGGATGGATGGATGGATGGATGGTTAGAGGGCACAGGATGAGTTGAAGATGAAGGGGTGATATCTGGAAAATAAAATTAAAGGGTGAGAGAAGATTATACTGGGAAAAGGAGAAAGAGATAGGTAGAATGGGGTAAATTATTTCACAAAGAACAGACAAGAAAAGGCTTTTTACAGTGGAAGGGAAGCGGGATAAGGTGAGAAGGAATGAGTGAATCTTATTCTCATCAGGTTTGGCTTAAGGAGGGATTATCATACACACTCAATTGGGTATGAAATCTATCTTACCCTGTAGGAAAATAAGGGAGAAAATGTGGGAGGGGATAATCAGAAGCAAACACTTCAGAGGAGGGATAGGGTCAAAAGAGAGAATAGAATAAATGTGTCATTTTAGGATGAACGGAAATACAGTTAGTTTGCTACAACATGGCCACTATGGAAGTGTTTGGCATGACTACACATGTATAACCTGTATTGAGTTGCTTGCCTTCTCAATGAGGGTGGGTGGGGAGGGAGGAGAGGAGAAAATTTGGAATCCAAAGTTTTAAAAACAAATGTTAAAAATTGTTTTCACATGCACTGGGAAATAAGATATACAGGCAATGGGGTATAGAAATCTAACCTGCCCTACAGGAAAATAGAAGGGGAAGGGGATAAGAGAAGGAGGGGAGATAGAAGGGAGGACAGATTAGGGGAAGGGGTATTCATAATGCACACTGTCTTGGGGTGGGCAGAGGGACAAGATGGGGAGAAAATCTGGAACTCAAAATCTTGTGGAAGTGAATGTTGAAAACTAAAATTAAATAAATAAAAATAAATAAATAAAACTTTTCAATTTAATTTAAAAATATCCTTTTTGAGCTCTTCCATGGCCTGGGACCAATTAGTATTTTTCTTGGAGGCTTTGGATATAGGAGTTTTGATTTTGGTGTCTTCTGGTCATATTTTTTTTTATCTTCTTTGTCAGCAAAGTGAGATTCTATAATATGAAAAGGTTTTTTGTTTTTTTTTTTTTTTGCTAGGGACCTGTAAATTTTAAGTTCTTCCAACGTGGTACAATCAAGGGTGAGGTGTTTACTACTTTTCTGGCCTGTGCTCTGGTTGTGAATGACCACAAGCCTTCTTTTCTGCCTTGGAACTGTGAGGAGGATTCCGTCTCCAGCACCATCACAAGCTCCACCACGCCAGTGCTCCTCCTTGCCCCAGGACTATGACCCAGAACTGTGACCCAGATCCAAGCACAGCCAAATCAAAAGAATCCTGCCTCAGTGCCAGCAAAGAGATCCCTGCAATCCTTCTCTGATCAGCCACTTGATCTTCACACCATCTGTGGGTCAAGAGCTCCAGAAGCAACCACAGCCACTACGGCCACCTGGGGCTATGCTACGGCCAGGGCTAGTCTGTGCTCCTCTCTCACCCAGGTCTCACAGACTTTTCTCACTGGCCTTGTAAGTTGTCTTTGTTGTTTGTGGGTTGAGAAGTCTGGAAACCACCACAGCTGCCCATGATTCAGTCTTCTGAGGCCTGCACACAGGTTTGCTCTGGCTCCGTCTTTGCCTGCATGGTCCCCACTAAACT